TCCTGCTTTTCTGTACACCTCTTTTATTTCTGCGTCGCTTTTCAATTTAATATCACTAGACTCTTGAAACAAATGCTTTAAAATGGTTTCATCTTGAAGCAGATATTTACTTCTACGTCCTTCTCTGCTTCTCCGATCACTTTCGTGACTATAACTTTTTGAGCTTTTGTTACTAGTTTTACTTTTACTACGTTCATGTGGTTCTTCAGGATCTAACATTTTTGCTTCTTCTTCCGGTTGACTATCATCACTATCACTGTCTTGATCATCCTTTTCCATATTTCCAGCTTCGATATCTACATCTTTTCCTGATATTCCTTGATGCCGCTTCTCCTCACTGCTTAAATTCTCATCGCTACCACTTTGTCCGGGAAACAAGAAAGGAAGCAGCATTCCCGCATTTTTTCCATCGAACAGTTTAGGATTTAAAATACGTTCATCCAAACCGGCACTAGCTGATCGTCTCTTCATATTAGGCACTTGGATGGGTGGTACTCTTGAATTGCCGCCTATAGTTAATGCTGATAATATTTGTGCACCAAGTTGACTTTCTTGCGATGTTGTACTGCCTCTCCTAAACAATGGCCCTACTTTACCAGATCTCGATTTTCCGAAGTCTCGTCGCCGTTTCCCACGTCGACCTCGTGAGCTACTAGCGACTTTTCGTGTTGTCTTTAATTCAGCTATTTGAACGGATATCTGAGAATCTAAAGAATTTCTTCTAGATTCCACAGACACTCGACGTACACTGAAGCTGATTTCAGAATCTACAGAATTTCTCCTGTTGCTGGATACAGAACCCGTTGTACCACCAACGAGTGCACCCCTACGAGTAACTAGCTTTGGCAAAGCTGCTGCCCATGTAGAACTAAAATCTTGAGAAGCTACGGAATTGAGATCAAAGTTTAAACCGACTGGATCTTCATGGGTGTTATGAAAACTAATGGATAATCGACCAGCGTTATTGAATGTTTTCCGTTTTGCAAACGCTTGAGCAATCACTTTGTGTTTTTTCAGTCTAATAGGCTCTTCGGTTTCACAATTAAAAGTTCTAAAATATAAAAATTTGAATATATTTCATGTTCGTTAAATATTAATTAAAAGACAATATAAATAATGTTTAAAATTTTACCGTCTGAGGAATCTAGTCCATGTATCTACTGTTGAACCAGTCCACACCCATGAAGACATAAGAATACCAGCAAAAAATGGTGAAAGCAAGTGTAATTGCATTTTAGCTGCACTCGGTCGAATTTCCATTTTACATTCCGAAATATCTAAATACTTCGTAGTTATCGCACATCTATAGATGAAATACAAAATATTGTTAAACGTAATGTATGATTACATATTTTAATTTTCTACTAATGGATAACCTTACATCATATAATTTCTAAAACTCTGACGCCACTCCCAAGAATGTTGAAATTCATAAATATGGCAATAAAAAGTCACTACAACTGCAGTGAAAGTGAAAATCGAAAACAGTCCCATACGCACGATAGTTTCTCGTATTTTAGAACTGGCCCTTTCAGATATAATTTCTTGACTACTTATTTTCAAGCGAATCAGAGTAATTAATCCTGAAAACGTTGACAGTAATATTAGTTAACTTGGAGTTAAAATGTAATGTCTTAATATTTACCTTCATTAAGAAATACTTACAGACTATGATCTTTAGGAAAGCATACAAAGAAATACATCTTATTATATAAATTGTATACAATAGAAAGTTTAAATACACAAATATGAATTTAAAACATACCTCTAGATAAGAAATAACCTCCAACCAGTAAAACAATCAACACAGGGCCAAGCAAAAACCAAGCTCTGACTGCATGATTAGTGTAACCCACAAAACATATACCAGTAACACTATTTCCATCAATTTCCCCCAATGCCATGATTGTGACAGTGAGGACAAGTGGTAAACACCAAGCAATTAAATGGAAGTATGCACCTTTTTTGTCTATTCTGTCTTGGATTTTGCCTAATGCTTGAAAACTCATATGCCAAGCATATGTAAGAATCACAAACCATACCATAGCTGCCATAAGAGAGTAATACACAAGAACAAACACTACGACACATGATAAATTTTCTCCACTGAAAATATATTAGTACACAAAGTTTGTTTATATCTGATTTAATGATATAATGATCTTGAAAAAATAGAACTTATGTAATTATGTAACAATTTATATATTAAACAATCATAAGCTACCTTGGCTCACTCATTCTTAAAGTTCCATCTTTCCTGCACACAATTATTTCTCTGCTTCCAGGTGTAAATTGAGCAAGCCATCCAATACAAGATACCATAAAACAACAGTTTATGTAAAATATAACTAAAGCTGGATATTTATTTGCACTCCTCCAATCAATTAAAAACGTTATCTGAAATAATATATAAATGAAACAAAATGTTATCCATTCTATATTGCCTTATTTATCTGAGTATTACTTACAACTGTGAATAAATTGAATGATCCACAAATCCCTGCAGCCCAGGCAATAAAAGAATGAATTTGCTTATGCTCATCTGCTGTAAAAAGTGGGTCATTGCACTGTGTTCCACAACCTTCAACTCCTTCAAAGATTGCAAGTGCATTATCAGTAGGGACTAATGGTTTCAAACATTTACCAGAGATATTAAATTTTAATTCTCTGATATCATTCTTACATAGTTTGGGAAATAAATCTGTATTTTCACATTTAACAAAACTTGGCCATATTGTGTGATTAAATACAATTCTACAGGGCCCTGAAACCATTTTACACATTTCTTGTGATGGTAAATCCACTGTATCATTAATACATTTTGGCATAAATATTGAGCACAAGAGGGGTTGTACAACTGCCCAACACTTTGGCATATGTCTTAATGCTTGTAACACATGTAATTTTTCCTATAATGTAAAAACATAATATTAAACAGATAATAAACATGGAAAATCAATAATAAAAATAAAAATGTCTAAAGAAAAAGATAATTATAAATAATATAAAAATAATAAGGTGACAATAAAGATGAAAATAAAGGTAAAGACATAGTAGTGAATTACCCATTGATATAGTCAAGACAGGAAGTATCTGAAGTGATTTTGAATAGGGTTTTTCTGACCTGAGAAATCAGGTATAAAAACAAAAGAATAAGGGAAAGTGAAAGTGACTTTAAAGTAGCAAAGATTTTGCTTGACCACTTTGAATTTAATAATCAAGAATTATATCTTTAATATATGCATCTTTAAAATCTATATATTATAACATACATGTAAAATAATATACCTCTATAATATCCTGAGTTACATGTTCAGGTATAAAATCCAATGTTGTAGTGGTATAAGGCAATCTTGTACCCATACACGTACTCTTTTGCATCTCTACACATTTTGCTGATCTACGACAATTTAATGAATCAGGTGGTAATTCTCTTATTGGATACCTGTCCAGCAGGTAACTAGAGTCCTTAATTCTGTGTCTGGGACTAAGATCCAAACTATGTTTCCATGTTTCGTTTTCGCCGTTTGAATTAATAGCAAATCCGTGCGTCAGCTCCGACAACGCTCGATGAAAAAGTAGAAAATAATAAATCAATAAAAGCGTCATCTGAAAAACATTAATATCATTAAAAAAGAAAGGAAAATTATATTACTATATAACAATAATTTGTTATGAAGTTTTATAATTGATGCACGACTTCCCGGCAAGCTATCGATTCAATTAAAAAGAAAATGTCACGTGTACTGTACCGAGATAAACAACAAAAGTATTTTGTAAATAAAAATAGTACCTTCGGACGCATAGTTTAAAACTACACACCAATTATTTCCTGAACAACTATAGTCTGCCACGGAGAAAGCTCTCCGTTTCGTTCGAACAAAGCGTCTTGCATCTTCTACGCTCGCGACAGTCGCATCCAGCATACGAACACTCGGACCACACACACGTTGCGTTCGCGTGCAGGCCACCCACGACGAACCCGATGAACTTGCTCATACCTCTTTCCGGTGTTTGAATGCTGGTTGTAAAGAGCTTTACGAATACCTCGTCAGTGGCAGAACTATCGGTAGTGCGTAGTGCGATCTGCGCATTAAATGCGGGAGATTTTACGAACAAATCGTTTGATAAATAAAATTTTAATAACACTTAGGATTATGCAAGATTATGGAATATATTATTTTGTCGACTTTTAGTAGTAACTTAATTTTATTTACTTGGAATTGCTATTAATACGATATAGAAATTTTCTAAATTTCGAATAGAAAAATGTTTTAAAATTTATATATTAGATTTAATTAGGAACATGGAACGATATTTCTCCTTAGAAAATTTTTGCATTTCGATATCTGAATTTATTTCGATACCTGATTATTATTCATTAAGCCAGACAGTAAGACGTACAAGCTGTTTCATTTACATAATCAATATAGGTAACAGAGTGCCATTTTTCTATGAAATAAAAAGGAGATACTTACTTCAATAAATGTTATAAAGGATATTGAATAAAAACTTGATACATGTGTCATAATATCATAAAGTCCAACACTGATCTGTGTCAATTATTTTTACCGGTGTCGACCTCTGCAAGCATTTTCTTTGAATACAGCATGTGAATTGTCAAAAGATGATAGCGTGACAAGTATTTTCAGTGGATGGTTTATTTTAATGGATTTAATGACTTCATGGTATTAATTAACGACAATATATATTTTATTGCGGTGACAAGCTCTTAACACGCGAAATTCTATTGGTTTTCTTTACTTGGCCTTTCCTTATTCCGGTCTACCAGGAAATATGATAATTGCCCCTACAGTTGATTAGCTGCTTGTGTTGATAATAACATGCTGTTAATATATGATAAGCCCGTGTCGTATATGTCTGCACTCCAGTTGGAATTAATACCAGTGGAACAATTTTTAGATAGTTTGCGATCGGTATTTGATAGCAAAGCAGTCCAAAAGGTGACAGATGTGTTATAAAATAACCTGAAAAATTATTTCGGTCATTCCAATTTTTATTGTTTACTTTGAAGCGTATAAATAAAAAGGTAGGAATTTTTTTTTAACTAAAAATTGTAGTTAATAATTTTACATAAGATATAAAATATTTTATACTGAAATTTTTTTTACAGTTTAAGATGTTTAAAATCCTTTACTTAGGATTATGTTTATTGTTTTTTGGAAATTGCATTGGTGATTATCCAGATTGGGATACAAAATGGCAAATGTTATGTCCTGGTCTATATCCCAGAGCTTTTACAAGTTATACACCTCGTGGGAATCTTTCTAGTGGAATATATATTACTCAGCCACATTTAACTAGTATGAAACACTGTGTAGCTGCATGTTGCACTAAACCCACATGTAATGTGGCACTTATGCATAATGGCACTTGTTACCATGTACTATGTGAAAGTTCCAAAATATGTATACCTTTGTATAGAAAAGATTTGGCAAATGAAAATCCACCAAGTATGGTATTGGTTAAACCTGTAGAAGAAGATGAAATGTGGAGTGATTTATTGGATCAAACAAGTGATGATACAGGGTAAAATTTAATTCCATATAGAATTCATTTCTATAACTTTATTTCATTAATACTTCTAAATTTCCACTCTTTAGAGGGTTTCTCATGGATGGTACAGAAGGAGATCACATTCTTTTTGGTGGCTCAAATGGAATAAGTTGTATCACTCAAACAAATTGCTTAGAGCATGAAGTATGTGTTAAAACAGCAGATAAGTCTGATATTGGAATTTGTCAATGTTCTACTGGATATAAACGTAATATAGCAGGTAATTGTATCATTAGATATTTTTAATTCCTATTAAAATATTGTTTCTTAATTTAATAATAATATTTTAATTTACATTAATTATGATAGGAATGTGTATTTTGATGGAAGACATTGAACTTGGTGCAACACCGCAAGTGAAAGCACAAAATATAAAAGACTCTAGTACATCTATGAAACCACCAATAAAAAGATTGTTAGTTTCTGCAGTTTCAAAGGAAGTACGATTACCAGAGAATGAAGTAACATTATCTGCCTATACTGTACCAGCAGAACAAGAAAATGAACATTACAATTATGCTTGGAGTCTTTTAAGTCAACCAGATGGTCATACTGGTATAATGACAGATCAGAACCGTATGACTGTCAAATTAAGTAACTTATCTGAAGGTTTATATGCTTTTAAAGTAGCAGTAAATGGTTTAAATGTTTATGGTGAAGCATATGCAAATGTTAGTGTTTTGCCACGTAAGTTTTTTACTATAGTTATATCTTCCTATTTATGATTATTATGATTTAATAATTTTATTTATGATTATTGTGATTTATAGCTAAAAGAATAAATCAGGCTCCAATTGCCATAATTTCACCTGCATCACAAATTGTGAAACTACCAAATACGGGAGCTGTATTAGATGGCTCGTCAAGTACAGACGATGATCGTGTTATTTCCTATCATTGGGAATTACAACAAGGTCCTATTGGATATCATCCTAATCTAGTTGATACACCTACTTTACAATTAGATAATCTTATTCCTGGCAACTATACCTTTAAGTTAGTTTTGAGACTATAATTTTTTGAAAAGAATTTGGTAATTGTTTGATATTTCGAATATTTTATTTTTTTTAGATTGACAGTTGAAGATTCTAATCATATCACTAATTCTACAAGTGCTAATATAACAGTTGTGAAAGTAACTGATTATCCTCCTAGTGCAAATGCTGGTCAAAATATTATTATATATTTACCTCAAAATACATTAACACTCAATGGTAACTTAAGTACAGATGATCATGGAATAGCAAGTTGGGAATGGACAAAGAGTCCCTCAGATCAAAATAAAGCAGTGGATATGCAAAATACTAGAACACCATATTTACAACTGTCTAATTTGGAGGAGGGAATGTACACATTTGTGCTAAAAGTAACAGATGATTCAGAACAGTCTTCTACAGCTGAGGTTCATGTATTTGTTAAACCACCAACGAATAAACCACCAAAGGGTAATTACGAAATTTTATTCGCTGTATTTGTAACACAAATTAAAGTAATATTTTATTTTATATGGTTTTAAATAGCTGATGCTGGAGGAGATATAACTATAGCATTACCTGAAACAAAAACTGTGCTTGATGGTCGGAAAAGTAAAGACGATATTAAAATTGTATCTTACCATTGGGAGCAAATAAGGTAAAGGAGAATTTATATATTACATATAATTTATTATATCTCATAATACATCACTAAATACCATTTTAAGTGGGCCCAGCAATGTTGAATTCTCAGCAGTAAATGAATCAATTACAAATATAACAAAATTAACAAAGGGTGATTATAAATTTAAATTAACTGTAATTGATGATAATGGAAATAAAGATTCAGATACAGTTGAAGTAAAAGTTACGCAAAGTATGTATGGTAAAGTTTTATTGTACATTTTTGTAATTAACATTTATTAATCTGATTACTAACTCGATTAGTTTAATTAATTTTATTACACAGATAAAAATGCTCCTCCAAAAGCAAATGCTGGTGGAGATCAAGTAGTTGTAGCACCTATCAGTGCATTAATTATTAATGGATCTCAATCAACTGATGATTTAAGAATTAATGAGTGGATATGGAGTAGAGACCCATCTAGTCTTGCTATAGGTACTATAATTCAGAATACTGACAAATCATCGGTTCTAATGGTAATAATATTATTTATTAACGTTATAGGTGGGAAATTTATTGTTAATAAAAAATATTTTGTAATTTCATTTCTAGTTGACAGATATTGTACCAGGCAGATATGTTTTTAGATTAAAAGTAATAGATGATCAGGGTCTTAGTAGTGAAGACACTGTATCTGTGATAGTAAAATCTGGTAAATAATTAAAAAAGAAGAGAAAAAAAAAGATGAAAACATTCTGTAATACAATTTTAATTAATATACATTTTTATAGATCCACAATTGTTGCATTTAGTTGAATTGACGTTAAACATCGGAGCAAATATGTTAACAGTATCACAAAAAAATTCATTAGTATTAAAATTACAAATGTTACTGCGAGATGAAGCATCAATTATTGTCCGAAATTTAAGAGCGGAATCACATACTGGTAGAGCTGTTTTAGTGTTTTATGTTGAAAAGAAAGGAGGAAAAGTTACTATGCATGGACCAGAAGTAGTTAAAAGATTGAAAGAAAAATTAAGACAAGATTCAGGCCTTCTGCAATTGTCTGTGGCGAATATTGATACTGCTGTGTGTCAAAATAATTGTTCAGGTAAGCATATTTTTATTAAATATCAATACACTATAAATGACTTTATTGTATAAAATTTATTCTTAAATAGGTCATGGTGTATGTGATCAAGAAACAAGATTGTGCATGTGTGAAGCATTTTGGATGCAAAATTTAATACAGAAATATTTTGGCAATGGTGACTCTAATTGTGGTATGTTAAAATGAATCTACAAAACCAACTTTTAAATGAGAATAGATTGAATTAATTTGAAATTATATATTTCTTTTTAGATTGGAGCATTCTCTATGTAATAATAGCATTACTATCTCTAGTCGTATGTTGGGTTGGTCTTATTTGGGGTCTTGTTTGCCTGTGTCAAAGAATATGTACAGGAAAACGTCGTTCATTTCGCACGAAGAAAAAACCACCTCGTTATTCTCTTCTGCAATCGAAACCGGAAGACGATAGTAGCACGTGTATGACACTTTTATTTTAATTTCTAGATAACATCGCACAATGAAACTGTATGTGCTTATTTTTATAGTTTCGACACACAAAATGGTACTATCTGAATCGGATACGGATTCTGATGATGTCCTGTTTGAACACCGTAAAGTGAAAAATAGCAGTCAAATAAGAAACGGTAAATCTCGAAATGGTTTTATTAAAGTGGGTTCTAGAGTGAAAACATGAGGTAACAGGTACATTTGTTAATATTTAAGTGAATCGTGCATTAAGTAAGTTATAATTTAATCCTACGTTTCAGGAATGTATAGAACGTAAGATCTTGGTAATCGACGCACATTTCTGTACGTTTGGTCAAAGGAAAAATAACATAAAATACTAGTCAGTTACAGGGCTGTAATTTTAAGCATATACCTAACAAGAACAATATAATTTCTTGGACAGAAGAAATTGTCATATGTAAAAAGAATATAACGAAACTAGATGTACTTAACTAAGTACTAATTAGAAAAACAAAAAACACAAACTCACTTCATTGCATTGTTTGATTTATTCGAAATAATACACATATTAATTAGTATTATGTACTCGTATTTGAAATTTTTATTATATAATTGTAGACGCACCGCTATATACACGCAAGCGGTATAATAGCACAATGATCAAACTTGGTTTGATTACGGCCTTAGAAAGTATTGGAATTAGTATATATATATACACATACATATTCATTCCTTATTCATATGTATATCCCTTGAATGTAATATTTGCTCTTTAATATGTATATCATCAATCTTATTTTTACACTGCGTATGGATAAATAATAAAATTTATTGTTCATATAGTTAATTTGGTAATTAATTTCACCTAAAACCTTTTTTATATTTGTTTCCTAGTTTTATATTTTGTATTACAATTGTAAATTAATCAGCGAGAAACGATTTTAATATAAAGCATGTGGTATAAAATGCAGGTACGATTTCGCTTCGCATGCGCTCTCTTTAATGTTATTTTTAACTCATTACGCTACGACAAACACGAAGTAGTGCAAAAAGTATTCATATCATCTATCAACGAATTTCCATATGTACAACGTTTTTTTATAAATTAGTAAATTCGTTTTCATTAATTTTCTTAGAAATAATTTATCCAACTTCAATTTTATCAATTTATACATTAGCTTCATAATTTAATGGTATTTATGGATTTCATAAAGTATCAATCTATAAAGAGTTGCTGCGGTGAAAAATCATCTATAAATGATGAAAATAAAAACAATAAACTTCCTAATAAAGATTGCACATTTCTTGAACGAAAAAATAAAATTGGAAATACACAACCCATTGTTAATGTGGAGCCATTAAATCTGAAAAACGAACGGTAAGCGCTATTTTTAATTTTCATGTGTATTAATATAAAGTACAAATTCATCCCTTATAAATTAAAATCATAAAAAATCATAAAAAATTTCATGTACATGCTATTTTGGAACAATCTATAGCATTTTCTTTAATTTATATTAAAAGAAAAAATACTATTTAAATTTTTTTTACTTAGCTATAAGAAATGTTCTAAGTTACCTTTATTATGGAGTACAAACAAGGTAAATTCTTTATATCAATCTTCTGAATTACCTCATGATGTGAAGTGTCAAGTAAATTATGAAGATACACAGGAAGGAATTTTTTTCTCCCTTAATATGTTAGAAGATAAAGATTTCCAATGTCCTAGATGTAGTCAAAGGATGCAAGAACCTAGATTACTTCCTTGCTTGCATCCTATATGTTCACAGTGTGTTTCAGAATTAATGAGTAAATGTAAGTGATCTAGAATAAGAAATTTATTTTGCCTTCTCAAAAACATAAATTACGTTATTATGCGTTTTATTTATATTTATAGCATACTACAATTCATTAAAAGGAATTAGAATGCAAGATACTCAATCAAAAATTGATAAAAATAATTATTATGAAATTTGTCCCTTATGTGATTTTCAATTACCAAATATTAATTCAGCAATACCACCTCCACATTATCCTTTACAACATCGTCTAGTAATGAGCGCTATTCGTTCGAGATTTGTAAATAAAATACTTTGCGACATTTGTACTGATGAAGTTGTTGTAAGCATTACATAAATTTAAAGTAGATTACTGTTTTAAAAAATATTAGGAAAACATATGGTTTTTAATATTTTTATAGGCAGTTGTTCAGTGCTCCACATGTCTCCGTAATTTTTGCTTAGATTGTGGTATGGAACATCAACAACAAATCACAATGGAATTAAAGCCATCAAAACACTTAATAAGACCATTATGGGAAGCTACAAAAATACGGCGTACTACACTTTGTCAGCAACATCCAACACATGCTTTGCGTTTTTATTGCATTGCTTGCCAGCAGGTTCATACTCTGCTCCTTTATTTACATAGTATTTTATGTTTAATGAATAGCATTTCTTAAGTATGTAAGGTATTTGTTAGGTGTCCTGTAAAGAATGTATGTGGAGTAGTCAACATAGAGGCCATGCAATTGAAAGTGCTACTGGTGCAGCCAAACGAGTTACTTCATATTTAACAAAAATGTTGCAAAGAGCAAAAGTACTTTTAAACATGCTTTTAACGCAATATGATAGAGATGCATTTTCAAATGGAACCTTTGAGGAAATAGGAGACATTCCCATTTCAATGGATTATAGGTATGTCAATATAGCAATTTTTTACTCGTCATTTGTTACATAATATTCTAATAAAAAAAAATATATAAACATATATGAAAAAATTATAAATATTCTGAAAGAAAAAGTACACTATTAAAAAAGAGAAACTATATATACGAATTGTCATGTGATGAATATGTTACAAATTCTAAAATTAAGTTAAGATTATATTAAAACTGTCATTTGAGGCATAACTTATACATTCCTATAAGATGTAAAAAATTGTAATAAAAAATAAGCATTACTATATAAATAATTTATGAAACACATATTACTTCTGTAAAAAATATCAATTTCATTATATAATTTTATATTATTATTTATGTATAATAAATACTCATTTATAAAAGTAATAAAACATATCAATGAAAAAATAAAATTTATTTCAAACCATTAACATTAAAACAGCAATTGATGCATATATGTTTGGCAAGTTAGGCAACGTCCATAACGTAAGATTGATCCACAACAGGACCAATGATGTACTCCAGGGTGACCAATATGCCCATGCCCACAACCTTTATATCCACCTTTAAATATATAATGTTTTATATTATAAGAAATATTAATATATAATAAAATTATTCAAAAAATTTATACAATACCAGGTATAATTCCTCCACATCCACAAGTGGCTTCTTTCTTCCCACCACTTGAACAAAATGTACAACAATGATAGATACCAGTATGAGAAGGTTTGAATATTGATGTCCTTGTATCTTCACTAGAATTCTCTGTAAATATTATATTTTAATGAAAAAGAAGAATAATAGTAACTAGTACATCTTTATACTCAAATTTCCACTTCTTTACCTAATGGTACATTAAATACACCTAAAACTTTTAATCTTTTTAATATTGTGCCAGCTAGGCTCAATATTTCTACATCTGAGCCATCTGCAAGTAATTCATTTGTAAGGGAAATAGCATCGAGAAGTTGTCTTGCTCGTTTTAATCTATTGAATTCCTGTATTCTTTCATGTGCCTGCTTAGTATGTGATACTGAGATATCATAATTCTTGAATTTTGTCTCATCATTTAAAATCTCATTGAAATATCTGATCAAATTAAATAATTATCATTATTTATATTCTAGGTTACATATAATTATAAGCAGTGTTATCTTAAATTTATTTTAAATGTCAACAATAACATATCATAAATAAAATTTTTGTTTTATATTATAAAGATTATATAATTGTCATGTGATGAACATTTATCAAAACTATTTCTTATTTATATGAAATAATGTATTATTGATAGTTTCATATTACTGTCATTTGAGGTTCCAATATATCTTAATAAATTCTGAAGTCGTTCTTTTACCTAATTACGTAGTTTTTAATTGTATACTATTATACTTTAATAATATAGTTGTTATTCTTCGGCTTGTAATTTAAATTATTGTAACGTTTTGTAAAATATGTATCTATATATACGGAATAAATCAATACTTATTTTAGAAAACGTGCAAAGATACGTAGTACATATACTGAATTTTTTGATGTTAGGTTAGAATATATTTTTCAAGAATAAATTTAAAAAATGATAATTTAAAATAGAATATTCATTATTTATAATCTATATTAATTATTTGAGAAATTAATATTTTAAATAATGAATATTTTGATATATAAATAATATTTTTCATAAGAAACTTATGTATAAAACATATATTTTTAACTAACATAGCCTCAATTAATGGAATAACGTAAGGCTTAAACTAAAATATTGCATAATTTTTTTAAAACCAAACTTATTTTTGAAACACAAAATATAAATATAATATACATATATTAACAAGTTCTCGTCCTTATCAATAAAACGCACATACAATTAATATCACATTATACTGACAAACTGACATGACAGTAGCGCCACTTATCGATAATGTTCTTTATTTACTTATAAATATATATATGGAATCAAATTTAAATAAAACAAAAATTTACCATATAATTAGAACTTTTAAATTAATATTATTTAATATTATATAATATTGCATAATATTTAATTAAATTGATTGTAATCATTGTAAAGTAATCATATACTAAAAAATATATATACCTGTGTTCTAATTATTAAGATTAATAAGAGAAAAGTGCTACTAATTCTAACATATTATAATTTTTACTATTAAGTTACAAGTTTTGTATTTCAGAATAAATTAATTTAAATTTAATGTAAAAAGGATGAAGTGTTATACACTACAATTAAGTGCAACATTTAGAAAGTCTTCAAATCCAATACTGATTACCCCTGTTTGGTCAGTATCTCTTACTCTAAAAGCATCTGCAAAAAGCAATTAAAGATAATGCACATATGTACAATGTAATTTTTAATATTTTTAACATTTTTAATTACTGAAATATATTTTTATTTTTATATACTTGTTTACCTGTGAATCTCTGAATTTGGACACATAATACAATAAACTGATCAACAGTACAAGAAAGACCAATAGGGTTACATTTCTTTATAAGAAATGAAATAAATTCTGGACTTAATCTATATCCCATTTGTATCAATGCTGCATTTAATTCAGTTTCTTGTATGCTTCCAGAATTATCATGATCAAAACTACGAAAAACACTTAGCCATGCATTAATATAATTATAAAGAGCTTGAAACTCAAATAAATCTATTGTACCATTTTTCTCCTTGTCAAACATTCCTATAGAAAGAGAATAAAATATTAAAAATTATGAGATTATTAAGTTATTTCACTAAAAATTAATTAATAAATAAAAATATTAAATTTTAATAATATACCTATCATAAGTTTACAAGCAGTATCTGAAAATGTGCCCCCTTGCCCATTTGCTAAAGCAGATTGTAGTTCTGTGGCTGTAATTCTTCCACTGCCATCTCTATCAACAGCAATAAACCATTGCTGTACTTCTGGATTTATTTGTACCTCAGAATTAGTTGATCCATACATTGTGTTCTAAAAATTTGTAATACTTATATTAAAACAATAAAATGCAAATAAGTTATGAACAAATAAAAATTCAATAAATATTATAATACTTAACAACCACAATAAACATACAGAGTATTTTAGATACATACAAAAATAAGAGATAATTTTATTCATTTAGAGAAAATATTTTAATAACAGAAATATAATTACCGGATAAGCCATGACTGACATTTGCCGTCAGTTGTCAAGCAGTATTAGTAAAACAATTTGTATTTAATTGCTCTATACTATATAATACAAGTTAGTATAGTACAAGATATACGTATACTATTATGTTACGAATCAAATTATTATATTACTTCAAAGCTGATTCTAGTATTAGCCCACAATTGGTTCCAATTAGTAGCCCACAATTGACTCTAGTATTGCCTCGCAGTTGACTTTAGTATTAGCCCACAGCTGATTCTAATACTAGCCCACAGTCGACAAAGTCGGTTGTGATTATGTATACATAACCATTAATAAAATTTAATACATTTCATTAGGTTTCAGTTATGTAAAAAATACTACCTGTTTACATATATTTTATAAAATACGAAATATAATTTATAATTCTTTTCCATTAAAAAAGTTGATAATTTCTATATCTTTTTAGTTATCATGCTAAAAATGACAGTGCCATCTTACGCATTGTTTTGCATTTAATACGATCGTGTACACACATAGAGGGTAGAGTGTTCTTCAGTGTTCGCTTTTGCTTGATTTTCTGACAGTAGTATTAGGAAGGAAAAGAACGATTTCTGGACATTATTTTCATCTTTGTTAATAGGCCGCTAATCTTTATTTCACCATGGACGATTTACAGAATTATAAATTGCAGCTTCAACAGGTAAGGCTTTTGTTTTTTGCTTAACCTAACATAAATGATAAAATGGCGAGTCCATTTTTGGCGATTCCTTTTTTGTTTACGACGTTACACCGTTAAATAAATTTTGTATTTTATTGGTTTAGGTGGAAGCAGCGCTTACCACGGATCCTACTAATGAAGAACTATTGAAATTGAAAATTGATCTCGAGGAAGTAATAGAGCTGACACATGATTTAATTAAATCACAACAGCAGGAAAAAAGGCAAGCCAATGGCATGGATGCTAAAGATCCTATTTTACTTGCAGTTCTGGCCAATAAATGGAAGATTGGTGATCAGTGTATGGCACCCTGGAGCGAAGATGGCAAGTAAGTAATTGTAACTTGTATATATTATTATGATAAATTAATATTTACTCCATTCTAATATCAATTATGAAGTTCTTATGATAATAACATATGTATTATTATTGTTACTGAATTGTTTTAGATACTATGAGGCAACCATAGATGCAATAAGTGAAGATGGTGTTGTTAATGTAACATTTAATGAATATAAAAACACAGATGTCACAATGCTTAGTCAGCTAAAGTCTGTAGCCAAAAGGCCAGCATCAGATTGGGCAGATCAGAAGTCAAAGTGAGTTGACAAGTACTTATTATCTTCATTTATTGGTAGTCATTATTAACATGACCCTCCCTGCAATTTTAAGCACATATCAGCTTTTTGAAGAGCATTGCGGGATAAGTTTTATAAGAAACAATGATTACTAATTGTTCATTTTTCTCCTTATTCCTTTATTCCCAATTGGCAACGATATTCACTCCACTGTTTGGTATGCTGAAATTCCATTATTGTTCATTTGTCTCTTGATGTCGCACTGTTCATGTACATCGCCGGAATCCAGGAAAAGGTAACAAGAAATAACAGATTTTTGTTGAAATATTTTTTTTATTCTCTTCAAATGCTGTTGTAGTTGATTTAAATTTACACTTGTATACAATAATAATGTTTTTATAACACAGTAATACAAAATTTTGTGATAGTAATGTTGAAGATAATTTATAAAATTAATAATTATAAGTAAATTTTTAATTTAATTTATATTAATTTATCTTAATAAATTTGTAGGTAAAATAAAATTATTTTTATTTTATAATTACTCTTATAGATATGGAACATTAAACATTATATTTCATGAAATAGTAGCAAGTACTCACTGTTTCTGCATACAATTAATTTCACAATAATTATTATTAATAGAATTTATTACAGCATTATTAATATTTTTTATATTTAGCAAGAAATTTTATATGGAAATATGTTGGTAGATTTTTACCTACTGGTTACTTTCATGAATGATGGATTTATTAATTTACAGAAAAATGCAAGCTGCTGCAGTAGCAGGATCAGATCCTAACAAGCAAAGAGAATACTTAAAGAAAAAGAAACAGAGGAAGCTTCAGCGATTTAAAGAACTTGAAGAAGAACGTGAGATGGAAAAAAATAAATGGCTAGCATTTACAAACAAGGTATTATTAATAAATTATTTTAAAGTTTTTGATTGAGTTTTTTAATTTCTAATATTCTATATTTTTTAATGTAGTCTTCAAAGAAAGGTGTAATTAAAAAGAGTATATTTGCAACGCCAGAAAATGTGAATGGTCGAGTTGGAATTGGTACGTGTGGCGTAAGCGGACGAGAAATGACTAAATTTAGTAATGGCGAGAAATGGAGAAGGGGAGCATGAATGCTATTGTAAATATGCAATTTAATATTTCGTGAGATAAAACTATCGATTATTGTTATTATTACGCTGAACTCAGTTTCTGAAGAAACTGAGCAAATGTATGTTTTGTGTTGTAAGAATGTCGCGTACGTGAATGAAGAGTGTTTAGCGGTATTTGTAGATTGCGCGTAGTCATTATGTTATGAACAAACAATGACCTCAAATAAATCCTGAAGTAATTTGGATTTTCTACCTTTATGAAGTGAATGACTGTCTTGAGTGAGTGTATTTCTAGATTAATACATTTACGTGGGTATGATTTGTTTATAATCTGTAATGAATACGAATAAATGTATATTTTAAAGTCATGTTATGTTTAAATATCCAAATTACTAAGTCCTTTAATAAAATACAATGGTTTTAAAATTACTATGCATATACATCTTTTTTCTAATACTGTAAAATTATTTATTTAATAAACGCTTTGTAATTATATTATTAAATAAATGATTTTTTATTATAGGAAATGATTTATTTATTGAAATATAAATATTCCATCAATTAGCATCAATATGCGTTTAGAGGTGAACTAATCACCTCGTACACTACTTATAGTAAGTACCGTTAGAAAGATCAAAAATGGTCGTTCTACTGTGGAATTCACGTCACCATTTGGTGATATGTTTGAAGCAATAAAGTTGATATAAGAAGTTGATAAATTGATAAAGGATGAATGTAGCAAATTGCTATGTTATTGTGGAGGCCTATAATAATTGTTGTCTTATTTAAAACACTGGAATCGTGTTCTAACCTATTTTAATAAAAGTCGTTAATAAACATTTTTATTATGACAGTAAAATAATTCGAGGCTTATGTCATATGATATATTGTTTGCTGTAATTTCTTTTTTAAATATTAATTACATATGTATTTTTTCAAATGATGTAGAATGATCCTTAGAGAAGAATTTTGTATATGCCTGTCAGCTTATTGTTTAAAATTTTTATGAAATTGGAATTGGTAAAAAATAAGAAGACTGATGTAATTGTTAACAACAAGTAATTAATTATAATTAATACTATATAAGATACTTTACTTACGTAAAAGAAGACATGGAATCAAATGACAGAAATCAGTTCTCAAATGGTGATGCTGCAAATAATAGGGATATCGATTGGTCTAGATATGGATTACATAATAATGCAGAAACTCAAAGAAATAGTGAAGCACAAAGAAATAATAGAGAATATGCAGAACTTGGGCCTGAAATGTATCAAACTGGAACAAATGAGTTATTTGCTCAAGAATATGTAAGTCACTGAGGTAAGAATATTTATTATTTGTTTTCAAAATTTTTATTTTTCAGAGTGCTGATCCTTGGTGGAAATCAAATTTTTTCATTTCACAGCCTATATTATTTGGAACATGGGATGGAGTATTTACATCTTGTTTAATTAATATCTTTGGAGTTATTGTTTTTTTGAGAGCAGGGTGGATAGTGGGCCAAGCTGGTATTCTTAATGCTGTATTAATCATTTTGTGTACAGGTAATAATAATTATATTTGTGTTAACAAATGATGATTGAGTTTAACAATTTAAAGAAATTAAAGATTTCATTGTTGTTTCAGTATGTATTGCACTAATAACTGTATTGTCTGCTGTGGGAATATGTGAAAGATGTCGTGTAGAGAGTGGTGGAGTTTACTTTTTGTTGTCACATGTATTAGGATCAAGATTTGGTGGATCTATTGGACTACTATATTGTTTTGGTCAGGTGGGACAATTTGTATAGCAATAATACTTAGAATATTACTTTAAAACTCTCTTTAGGCGGTGGGCTGTGCTCTAAATGTTCTAGGGTTTGGAGAATCTATGGCTGGTCTTGTGGGTTTAGAGTCTGCATGGGCAGAACGTGGTTTTGCTTGTGCTGCTGTTATCTTGTTATCTGTTATTAATATTGCTGGTGTCAAATGGGTTATAAAACTCCAATTTATTCTCTTACTAATTCTTTTGCTTGCCGGTGTAGACTTTATGGTTGGAAGTTTTACTCATGTGAATATTGGTAAGATAAGATAGTCCTTAATTTATGGTACATATATTATTTCTTCTAATAATAATTTTATATACATTATAGAGGCTGGTTTTGAAGGTTGGTTGTCAGGAAACTTGAAAAATAATACTTTTACCAACTATCAAGATGGGTACAGTTGGTTTACAGTTTTTGGAGTATTTTTTCCTACTGTAACAGGTGTCTTAGCTGGAATTAATATGAGTGGAGACTTAAAACATCCATCTACTGATATTCCTAATGGTACATTGGCAGCTGTAGGAACTGGGTAAAAATCATAGCTCATTGTGTTCATATTGTTTGTGTTGTTAAAAAGTGGATCATAATTCAGTAATTTAATTTCAGAACATTTTTGTATTTATGTTTCTCAATGTTCCTCGCGGCAACTTGTACTCGAAAGGCATTGCTTACAAATTTTATGATTGCATCAACGGTATCAGCGATTTCAGTACTGTTGCTAGCAGGTCTTTATGTATCATCATTCAGTAGTTGTTTGGGTGCGATGTATGGTACACCACGAGTTCTTCAATCTATTGCTAGTCAAAATGTTATACCTGGAATGAATTGTTTACAACGAGGGGTAGGTATAATTTTATATTTACGCATTTCTATTATTATGTATTATAATAATGATAAAATAATTAATGAATTTTAGAAAGGACCAAACAAAGTACCTGTATATGCAATGTTAGTTGTTGCTGTTGTTACACTGACTTTCATCATTACTGGTCAAATTAATACCCTTGCACCAATTGTTACAATGCCTTTTCTTTTAACATATGCGTGTTTGGATTATGCGTATTTTGCTCTCGCACAAACATTTGATATACAATTGTCTCGAGAACAAAGATTTCGAACACAATCCCCAACATTCGATCGCGATTACGGCTCTGCAAGTAGAAACAATTCAATAACAGATACAGATAATGACTTGGATAATTTATTCCCTGAGCGAATAAGGCATAAAAATCTCATTGTAAGTATTAGTAAATTTGTAATTAATAATTATGCGACAAAGAAAAAAAAAAAATTTTATTTATAATTTTTAGAGAAATCCTAGCCTTTCCGAAAATAATGTTTATATAGATTCTTCTCCAAGTATTGATGAAAATGGTAGTGGCACGGATAATTCAGAACGAAAAGTTCATATCCATAACAAATTAGGAAATTGGTATAGTCCTCTGTGTAATAGATGGTTTTCACTATTGGGAGTGAGTTTGCTGTGATCTATTATTATATAAATAATTTAAACTTGATTATAATATGAATTTATTTTCTAGTGTCTTATAAAATTACTTATTATGTTTCTCGTTCATTGGGGTTATGCTATTGCCAATATTGTTGTCGTTTTCCTCGTTTGGAGTTATATTGGTCATGCTAACCCTGCAGTTAAGCCAGGTGTTTCATCCGAATTTAAATTTTTTAAATGGCTGAAAATATCGTTATTACGGATTATGGGGTAATTTTCAATACTTTTATAATATTCTTCTTGATAAAATTATTTTTTAAAATATAAAATTTACAAATTGCAGAAAAAAGGTGTATGACTATGAGCAAATTGTTGTTACACCTGTACATCCTGGTGTTGAAACTTGTTCAGCTCAATTAAATGAAGAAAATGAGGACTTTGCTGGAAGAAGAAGATATCATCAAACGGCCACAGTTACTGGACAATATGTTAACGTTGATTGAATATCAGTTTCTATTGAATAATTAGGAAAAGTATGAAATGGAAATCAGATATAAATTACTTAAATGAAAGGAATTGTACAGGAATCAAATTACCGTCATATTTTAAAATAGGGTAAAATATGAAGGAGAGCGCTGTAATTTGTAATGTTATTGATCGCACAAAACTAGTCTAACTGAGAACATTTCATATCGGAGGTACAATAAACTTTTTATACGATATCGTGTAATAACTTTATCAGCACTAGTATTTGAACAAGGAAAAACAACACAAAATACTTTATATCGAACAACTAAATAATAAGGTCATATGACTTTTTGTACTAGTTTATTCGACGTAGACACGAATGAAATGCCATACTGCCAGAAGCATTTCTAAAATGGAGGGTCCATATATTTAGTGAATTATTTTAAGAACTACTTCTTATGATGTGAGATTATTTATTTAGAGTCCTTATAATTTTTAGCTAGGACTAAATTGTAATATTTTACTTATCATATGGAGGTATTAAACAATGAAAAAAATTATAAATATGATATAATTTATAATGAATACTCTGTAAATATGTAGTGATAACATATTTATATGCTGTTTAACATTTTTATAAATGTTGCTACAAAGATGAGTATATTATTAATAAAATATACATATAAATTAATAAACAAAACGTGAATTTTTATTTTAATCCAATTTTATTCCATTTTCTTTTCTTTAAATGGGATTAAGAAATGAAATAAATGGTTTTAAATTATTCAAAAATTGATGTAATGCGTAATAAAAAATTGATTGAAATATGACAATTGCAAGTTTTTATTATAGTCATACTTTGGCCATATTGAATATGAAACGAAAAAGAATATTCATTTAACGGTTAAATTTTTTTTAAATGTACTATTCTAATTAATTGAGAGTATAAAATTTTATGTATTTGGTAGGTTTTCTAATTTTGTGATTTAAACTATATTTACAAATTTTCTAATATCACTATGTCGCATATAATTTTGTATTAATATTTTTGATCGATAATGCACAAAATAAAACACAATTTGCTAGAAATAAAAGTTTAAATTTTTATTTGTAACTATGTAACATTAAGTTTAAATACATTTCCGGTCTAACCGTGCATTGACGTACGTAGTCTATGGCGAGTAAAATTGTTCGAACGTTCGAACAGCGTCTGATTATTTTGTGTTAACTATTCACTTCATTTTACCTCTGTAATTTAAGGTATGTACTTTTATTTGTTTCTTATTTTACTTTTGATAGTATTAAAATCATCGTGCAACGGCATAGTTGCAATATTGTTCTTTATCTAATTTATTCCCGATTCATACCTTGACGGTAGTGATGCGACGTGAAATTGTCCATTTATATGAAACTATATACTTCAACGACATATTGTTTTTACAATCAATTAAAGTTCTTGAATTTGGCGAGGGAAAATTGAATTTAATTTTACGAATAGAATTTATTCATATACCATTTTGGTTTCTTAGATTTTCAACTTTGGTTTTTGTCAATTATATTACCTTTCTACATTTTACTAACCTTTGCTTGTAGTGAAATAAGCCATACTTAATAACTGCCTATATATATACACGATACATTTCTTACGTCTAGCTACTTAATGACTAAATCTTTTTAATATGAGCAGGATTGCAGGCTCATTTTATTTCACTTTCACATACTAGTACAATTAAATACTTAAATTATACATATAATATAATATAGTCTGTGATAAATTGTATATCCGAGTTGCACGATATTTTCTACGAAAAATCGTAGTTTCAGCGAATTATACCGTTTACTTTCGATTTAGGTGAAAAGGATCCATTTTAATTAAATTGTTCGTTTTCAGGTTACGAGTGTAATTCACACGTATTTATTCGAATGTCCCACGACCAGGGATTATGTTTCGTCCATGTCTCTGCATACACGGCGGGCTATTAATCGCTCCAGATTCAGCAAGTACTGGCGGCCGGCTAAATCCGCGGTGAGAGCTTCGGAAGCCAGGAGGTTCGTGGTGATCTCGCGGCCAACCACGATGGTTAACCTTCCTCCGCGCAGCAGCCTCTTAGGCGGTTGTGTTAAAATCCTCTGGGGCGTCAGAATGCGAGGTAATTAGTTGCACTATATGAATGTCTATTTCTAATAACTGGATTTGGCTTTTAATCGCATTATGTGGTATTTTTAGTCTTTTAATTATTTAAAATATAAGATATTAAAAATATGCGGAATAAACATTTTTTTAATAATATTATTTTTTGGTATTAGATGGATTTTCTAAGAGAATTTATTGACTAGGAAAACAAATACGTGAGAGGAGCATAGGTGGTATAAACTGGTTTGGGTAAAACACCGTAGATAAATGTATACACGGAAATAATAGTATTTGTTTCCGTGGAAAAGAATTTATGAAATGTCTAGTAATAAATAGCAGCGAAATTGTATTTAGTTATCAAGGATAGTCACTTGATTAATACTGCTTCGTATTGTTTCTCTTATAAATAGCATGGTTGCTTTGGCGCCATATGGCCTACAGCATGATTGCTTACATTACTAACCTGTCGTAGTAGTAGAATAAACACTGAATAATATCTGTTTCAATTTTCTCTCATTAAATTGTACTTCCACTAATAAATATCGAGCTTGATGAAATCGATGAGAATAAAACTATTTGATTACGTTTGCGTCATAATTATTATTGGTTGTATTTTGTTGTTAAACATATATAACATGCATAATTGTTAAATGTTTACAACAACGAATTGAAACAAATATTTTTCAGTTTCAAGATTTTATTGCAGTCAATGTACAATACTTTAGTTTTCTCGTTGGACATTGAAAACTCAACTACCTGTACTTAATTATAAATTAACTGATATATCAAATTTTGTTTCAATTATAATTTCAATTTCTTTGAGGAAGTTTATTAACTTACCCTTTTCAGATGGAAAAGATTATAAGTTCCGGTCTCGTAGTTCTTCCAAGCACCATAATCCAATAGCAGTTACATAAATTTGAAATTCTTTCCACACATTACGACTGTCCTTTTCGACCACCTTTCCAAAGCACACGGAGGAAAACTTTTATTACGGCACGACGTATGATATTTCTCTTCAGAAGTATTATCGAAAATTTATTCAAAGGGGTCATTGTGTATACATTGAGTGGGCAAGGTTCACGTAAACGGGTCGTTTTATCCGGGTGCCGCCGGAAAAGCGAGAGGGCGAGTTCTTAACAAGTCCCAGGAACAAGAAGCCTTTGCTGGAGCAAAAAGTTCTCACCGACCTAGAACCCCGGCAAATCTGCAACCGGTGGAAACCATCGACTTTTCCTCAGCGATCTGATTTCATTTTCATCGAATTCGCTTTTGCAAAATTTTTAATACCAGAGTCAAATGTTCACGTATGATCTTCACGAGATATCTTATATTTTATACAGATATCTAACTTGGTAGGATTGTAATCGAATTGCGGGCGAATCTCGTCTTCCTGAAAATAAATAGCTCCCTTTTTGGGATCCATTTAAGATATATCAAAGGTGTCTTCATGTTTGAATAGATGCAATAATTTGTAGGGATATATAGAAGATCACGATGTAGATTACGTAGGCTTTATTTGCTTATCCCCTGTATATCTTGTTGGATTGTTGTTCAGGATTGTGTAAGGGAGTTGATCGAGCGAAAAATCTACATATTGGGTTTGTGAAAAAGCGGAGGCTTAACGTGATCGAATAAAAACATGCAATATTGGAGAAATAGCAAGAAAGTTTATGTAGAAGTTTCGTTTGCAGTAGGAGATGATCTTTGTGAATATTTTGGGGTTACGAGATTATCCTCTCGCAAGCTGTCTCAATGACTTTATCTAGTAATTTTTTGAAAAATTATCCTTCAATCATTCATCATTCGTTTAGATATTTACCACATAAAATTTTATCACTATTTGTTCCATTCTAACATTCATTTACACTCTATATATTATATTTTCCAAATCCACATATTTCCCAAAAACTTTCAAAAATTCTAAAACTCAATTTCATTTCTTGAATCTAACAAAATACCACAAACAATTGCTACAGGAACGCACTTATGGGATACCAAAGCAAAATCCATAAAATCCACAAAGCACAGACTGTCAACGCAACATGGAACCCAAACCAAACAGCATCGCAAACAACGAATAGAACCGGCACCTGCAACTCAGTCATCGCACCCTAGACACCCTTCCTTCCTCTGGGTCTTCCAAATTTCCTAAGAACCCGAGAGATCTCCGACCACGACCAACCCTTAGGAAAACCTAGCACCTGGCGTCACCGGTGTGGGATCCTAGTCGGATGCCGGATCCGCGGTGGAAACTTCAGTGCGCGATCAACCACCGACGTGTGTTTACGGTCGGAGCTCCAGCGGAAGCTGCGAGGCCTGGCTGCTGCGGGGGGTGAGAATCTTTTGCTTCACGCCTTTTTATTACCGCTCGCATTCCCGCTAGCATTTCTTTCGTCCTCGCTCAGCGGTTCGTTTGGGGATGACTCGTGATAACGTTTACGACCATCGTGCGTTCGATCGGACGTATTGAGATCCGGAGAAAGGGATCGAGAGGTGGAGGTTGTCGCTGGTGGGTTCGTTGGGTGAGTTTTTGCTCGGAGTAGCCGTGAGAGTGAACGCTGGATTGTTGGGGATGTTCGGGAAAGAAGGGTGAATTCTTGGTGGAACGCGGAGAATCGCCACGTGTCCTCGAGGCCGGGCCTGCGTGCGGGCTGGCTCGTTAGAGAGCATTTCGACTGGGAATTTCGGCGATCCTCCAACGTTCGGCCTGATGCTGCTCCTGGTTGCTTGATCACCACGTCGAAATTGATTCGCCGAGTGCCGAGTGAGCGAAGACCCACGTTCCGGTTGGGAACAGTGAATTATCGTTTGGATCGTATCCCTGTTTAATTGCTGGCTCCTTGCTTCGCGTGTTTGATCACTTGGATGTAAAAGTTGAATCGTGCATTTCCATCATTCTGACAGCATCTCGATGCTCGTGCCATTGGCTCAGGTTTGTCACGTGTACTTCAAGTGTCTTCCTCGAGTTCCTCTGGTTCTGTTGTCCACGTTAGGTGTTAGACTTTTCATTGTCGGTCATTCCTTCGTGACTTTGTCATCCATGTTTCCAATTAGGATTATTTTCAGATTGGTACGAATCAGTTCTCTATAATCAAAATTTCAATTATGTGACGCGTGAGAGAACCATTTTATATTTTCCTCTAAAGCCTAACGATAATTTTGCTATATCTATCAGAACAACAGTATGCTAATGAAAATACTAGCGATGAGAAAACACGATTTAAAGGAGATTTAAGAAATACACATAGCGTCATAGCGACCACGTGGAAATTAGAAACAG